ACGCCAAAAACCATAGCCGATAACCGAGAGCCGAACGCCAGTTTCTGAAACCCGAACGCCGGATGGCTTGGTTTTTGGTTTGGGCGAACACCAAGTGTTTTTAATGACTTAAACATGTTTGAAAAACATTTTTATGATTTAAGAAGTGCAATGAAGGTTTTTAGCCTAAAGAGCCAAGGTGTAAAGATTGGGTCGGTCTTGATCACAACGAAGACCGACTCAATGACACTAAGACTAAGGTCTTCGTTCTTGGTCTTTTTTTAGCTCTTGTTCTTGTCTTCCTTCTTCGCCTTGTATATTCAAAGTTTGACTTGATCACGGCGGTTTGGCTACGAAATCAAGTGAGACAATTTAAAAACAATGTAGTTTGAGTAAAAACCACGCCTAGCCAAGTTTATGTCGTTTTGCGTGGTTTTTGCCAAACAACCAAAAGCCAAAGGTGGTTTTCAAAGTGTTTTTGTTGGAGAACTGTTTAAACATGCCAATAAGTGAAAACCAATCATAAAATGTTGAAAACCTTTTGGTTGGTTTGGACGCCAAACACCAATGCCGATAACCGAATGCCGAACGCTGGATGGCTTGGTTTTTGGTTTGGGTGAACACCAAGTTTTTTTAATGATTTAAACATGTTTGAAAAACATTTTTATGGTGTGTGAAATGCAATGAAAGTAATTTTAGCCTAAAGAGCCAAGGTGTAAAGATTGGGTCGGTCTTGATCACAATGAAGACCGACTCAATGACACTAAGACTAAGGTCTTCGTTCTTGGTCTTCTTTTAGCTCTTGTTCTTGTCTTTCTTCTTCGCCTTGTATATTCAAAGTTTGACTTGATCACGGTGGTTTGGCATTATCAAAACCTGTCATAAAAACAAACACGGCTTTAGTACGAAAACGTGACATGCCCGTGTTTCATAAATTTCCCCCTTTTTGATAATGGCAAACGAGATGAGGTTATGCATATGAGATTTTAAAAAAGTGTTCCCCCTTAATAGATGCCATTTTATTTGAAAAAATAATTCCCCCTCAATTTATGCATAACCTTGATATCTTCCCCCTTTTGACATTAACAAAAAGAATTAAAAGTGAACTTTGGAGTATAAAAGTAAACTTTTATTCATGAAAAGGGAAATGCGGAATACAACGGAATGGAAGAAGAAAAAAAAATAAGAAACACAATCATAGGAAGAAGAGAAAAGAGAAGTCTAAGCATCGTCGTCCTCGTCGTCATCCTCATCGTCCTCGACGTCCATGGGATCGCCGTCGACCGCATCTTCAAAGTTGGCCTCGTCGGGGGAGGAGGATGGTGCATAGGAGTTATCCTCCTCGTCCTCGCCTTCATAGTTTTGGCCGAGGAAGGTGCTGTCAAAGGGCGGCGGGACGTAGTTGACGCTGCGGAAGAACGCCGTCATGTCGTGGTGTTGGCGTTGCAGCGTCCAGTCCATCCGCTCGATTGACTGCCCCATGCCGTCTACTGTGAGGGTTAGCTGATTCAGAGTATCGGCTATGGACTGTAAGGACGCCTTAGCGGGAGCAGAGGCAGGGGCAGGGGCACGGGCACGACTCGGTCCAGCGCCGGTTCCGTCACCGGACTTCTTCCGGAAGGTGCTGTCTTGGATGATCCAAATCTTTGTCATCTTCGTATCCGGGCCGGCGATGGAGATTTTGGCGGAGATGATGAAGTCCATGACGAGGAAGGCGTATGGCAAGCTCCACTCAGTGGCGATGGAGGCGCAATCCGCCATGTGGATCATCACGAATTTCGCCCAATTGATGGAGGCACCGTGGATGATGGCATGAATTGCCTTCAAGTCCTCGTTGAAGAGCGAGGTATGGCTGCTGTCCCGGGGGCGGAGAATCCGGGTGATGATGTAGAGGAGGAGGCGCTTGTCTGGTGGGGCCGAGTGAATCGTCGGTGCGCCGCTGTGGCGGATCAAGTTGGTGATCCCAAGCTCACGAATGACGACCGCCTCATTGTTGAGGATCCAATCGTCGCCACCATAGGTTGCGATGTCATCACCGCGGATGGGCAGCCCTGCGACCCGAGCGAAGTTAGGCAAATCAATCTCTATGTCGTAGAGATTGATGCTGCTGCGAATGGTGTCCCCGTCACGGCGGAGATTGGAGTAGAAAGCCCGGACAAAGGCGGGATTGAAGCTCGAGCGGCTCTTGGAGACGAATGGCCACAAACCCGACGCTTGGAGTTGGTTGTCGAGGTCGTGGTACCCTTTGTTTTGGGGAATCAACTCCGGGAGCACGCGAGGTGGAGAGATCGGGCGCTTGGCAAAGTGAGTGAGGAAGCGTGTTAGTTCTTCCTCCGACCCGAACTCAAGAAATGATCTGTCCAAATATGGGAACGGAGGAGGCGCGGAACTTGAGGGTTCGGCGGTGCTTTTCTTCTTGGAAGCCTTAGACTTTGATCTTCCTCCGGCCATGATTAAGGCGTTTTTGAAGAAAGACTGAAGAAATATTGAGACTTGGATCAAGGAATGAAATTATGATGTTAATGGTGTATTAGAATGAGCAAATATGAGGGGTATATATAGGGAATGGGAGATTAGGCCGTTTGGATTCAAAAATATAGTTGTTGGGCAATTAATGTGGTGCCCAACGGCTCTGAATTTTTGAAATGCAGGTGCCTTCCCAGCGATGGTAGGATCTACCCATCGATGGGAAGGTCGCCACTGGAAAGCAAGGAAGGACCCAAGGCTGCCTTCCCAGCGATGTTTGCATTTTCCCATCAATGGGAAGGTGGCTTCTGGGAAAAAGAACATGGCCTTTCCAGCGATGTTAATACTATCCCATCGCTGGTTTGGTATTTTTGAAAATCCGTTAAAGAAATTTTAAAAAAATAGTGTCAAACACCCAGCGATGGGAGGAACTTCCCATCGATGGGTTGGGAGGTTCTGAAACAAAAATAGGCACTCACCCAGCGATGGGATAAACTACCCATCGATGGGTAAAGGCGTTCTGGAAATCTGTTAAAAAATTTAAGTCAAACACCCAGCGATGGGAGAAAGTTCCCATCGATGGGTTGGGAGGTTCTGAAACAAATTTTTTTTTGATAAAAGTCCTTCACCCAGCGATGGGACAAAGTACCCATCGATGGGTTAGGGTGTTCTGGAAATCCGTTAAGTATTTTTAAAAAATTAGAGTCAATTACCCATCGATGGGAAGAAGCACCCATCGATGGGAAGAGGGGTTCTGGAAAAAAAGAAACTTCCCTCCCAGCGATGGTATGTCCTACCCATCGCTGGTTCCCCCTGATTTCCAAAGTTCTTTACTTCGAACCGTCCCTGCAAAAAAGAGTTAGAAAACCCTCCGACGCTCAAGTTAGTAAACGTTCCAGTAATAATAAAAGAATGATAAAATGCACAAATTAGATCATCGTGGAGTCAAGGATTCCGAGTTCGCTACGAATGCAGAAGAACGACTCTTTATCTAAAGGTTTTGTGAAAATGTCGGCTAATTGGTTGTGTGTTTCAACAAACTCAATTTCGACATCACCTTTGAGAACATGATCTCTAATAAAATGGTGCCTAATGTCAATGTGTTTCGTCCTTGAATGAAGAACGGGGTTCTTCGTCAAGCTAATGGCGCTAGTATTGTCACAACGAAGAGGAACGTGACTGATACTAAGGCCATAGTCCACGAGTTGTTGCTTCATCCAAAGGATTTGAGCACAACAACTACCGGCGGCAACGTATTCCGC